CCGATGGCCGTGGCGTTGATCGGCACGTCGGGTACCGTTTTGAAGTCGAACTGTAAAACGGAGGTCGAAAGTCAACGTTCAGAACAACACGTCAATGCCGTGACACTTACGATCGTTTGATTGTCGCGTCGACTGAGGCAAGATATCACCCCGTCCTGATCGCAGATGACTATCTGCTGAAGCTGGTTGAACTCGGCACATGGCGGAAACAAGTGCATGCACTTTTTCCTGCACAACCCCACCTAAAAAATGTTTTTATTACTAAATCTCAAAAGCCTTTTGCTGCTTTCTCCTTGCCCTACCATAGCGTAGTCCAAACGGTGGAACGACATGGCCAGCAGTCAATGTGCACTGACTGCCTTCGCTACACTTCTCGAATGGCAGGTAACTCCATGGCAACAGCAGTCGGCCAACGGCATCGATTTTTGACCCGTTATTCCGTAGATTCACATTATCAGAGATTAAGATTATAAACCGGAGGTTGTTTAATCATTAATCAAAGCTAGAAACATTGAGCAGAGAAAAGTTCGAATTTTCTACTTTTGCGTACTCAAAAATTCCCAAAAAGTTGTCCAACTGATACACGATTTAATTATACGGCCTTCAAGGCAATGCTTAAAGCTGGGCCGCACAGATACAGAGCAATGCCTCCGTCCGTCCGGCGCACAACTGGACACTGTCAAAGTTGACATCAGCACAAGTAGCCTCAGTATATGGGCAGATTATGAACATGACGCTTACCCTGTTCGACAAATTGGTTTGGCATACACCATTCACCCCCGAGATTCTCGAGGGGGTGTTGAAATTCGTCAGAGGGTTCGATAAGGGAACAAGCACAAAACAGGGAAGAACAACGTAGAAGCGTATCTGGTTTCAGAGAGAAATATATTTCCTTCTACAAAGCGGTAACCGGTGCCTCAGAGGAAAAGCGTTGACAGCTGCAAATACAGTGCATATCGCAAACCAGAGACGTTCTGCTTATGCAAATGGCTCATAGGTAAAGATCCCAACAAATACTCAACACGTAAAGCAGACTTTGAAGTCCTCTCTGAGCGTCTGATTGGGATGCAAACGGCGAAAAAAGACAAGCTGAACTTGGTGGCGGAGGTAGCTGTGATAGATTGAAGTAAAAGACAGCAATCCGAGTCATCGTTGAAGTCGGTAAAACACTTGGCAACAACAGTAAGAACAACAGCAACTGGTAGCTGCCGTTTTTCGCTCAGAACCTTACTAGATCCTCCACATATTGGCCTCTCATCTTCATTACGCAGATGGTTTTGCAGCATTCTCTTCTTTTGAAATTTTTTCTGTTCTTGGTCATCATTTTGCAAATAATTGCAAATGGCTTAATTGTGAAGCAAAAGACGGCGCAGGTTTTCAAGACGTAAAGCTTGGATGATGTTATTATTAGATGTTCATGCTGTAATACATGAGGACAAACAGCTCTCAAAACATCGTTCGTTATTAGTGCGAAATGGCTCCCACGAACAAAATCATGTGATATACCTCTGGCACTGCAAGCGATCAAATGCTGCAGATTCGTGAACTGTTTCAATGCCCTTATCCTCGCTCTCTCCTCAGGAACAAGGGGCAAGGGAGCCGTGCAGTGCTCCGTGAAATCAGGTTTAGGAGGAGCCTCTTAGATTTAAATATATATATATATATATATGTACGGAAGCAGAGTGTAAAATTTCTGTCAAATTATTGGACTTCCAAAATTTCCGTTTTATTTTATGGTTCCATTTTTGAGACCGTGAGAAATCATCA